TGTGTGAATGATGCATATGAATTTTCATTAAATTATCTGTTTGAGTCCAAGGACTTGTTTTGTGATCTGTCTCAACAGAAAGTGCTTCTAGAAAAAAAAAAAGCAAATTGAGTCAAATAATAGCTCAAAAATAATGGAGTACTATTTGCAGTATTTTGTCTTACTATAGATTAGGTTGTGGGTTCAAACATGGAAGATACAGAGTTCAGATCAAGCAGAACACTTGTGAAGTTTATTGTAGAAGCATAAGCATGTGCTGAATAATACCAAGGATGATGTAGGCTTGGTGTTACTGACAGTGGCCAACAGCTCTGTAGATGCATGTGCAAATACTGCCCATAAATGGTGATGCTTAACTAAAAAGCTCACAGCTTCTGCAGATCTGTACCTGGTGCAGTTTTGGACCTGGGTGTGGTATCTTTGTATTGCATTGACAGACTTTTCTCCAGGTACTGATCTGCTGATTTTTTTTTTTTGAGTCATAGCATCCTTTTGTGATGACTTCCTGAGTTCATTGACCTTATCTGGAGAAGTAGCTTCATACTTGTTTTGAAGCTTATTGTTTTGTGTCTTTCATCTTGTGTCTTAAATCAATCTTCTTTCACCTTTTGCTTGCCAGGAATGATATTTGCAGATGTCACATCACTTCCAAGACATTCTTTTTCCAGCCTGAAAAATCTTAGGCTGTTAAGTTAGCTTGACCTACCTTTTATCACCTATTCTTATCTCTTCCAATTCTACTTTCTAGTCTTGAAAACACTAAAGAATTTCCCATAGTAGGCCAAGACAAAGTATATGACGTTTATTCATTTACAACATTTTGTCTTTTACCTGTTAATTTCTAATGATATTTGTTCTTGGTTTTGACCTGTAAGAGTACTGAACAGATGTTTTCATAGGGATACTTCTCAAAATTCTATGATCAGCTTCACTTGAATAAGTAGTTAGCTAAATTTGTCACTGAATATCCTAGATCAGAGTTGCTTTTTCCTCTCTGTTTACATCTTATAAAACAGCAAGCATAGTACAGTATAATGCAACTTTTCTTCAACTCTTTGAACCCATAGTAATTCTATGAAAGATCAGAAACTTAGGAAGTATTTTCCATTTAAATTCATTATGCTGCAATTAAGTTTTCCTATTGCATGAGTGAAAGCTTAAGGAAGTCTTAATCATAGGCAGAGCCTGTGGAGCAAGTCCAGGTCAGGCAGTGGCACAGGCTGCCTAGGGAGGTAGAATCACTGTCCCTGGATGTGTTCAAGGTACATATACTAACAAACATGGTTTAGTGGGCAGTATTGGTGGTAGGTGGGTGATTAGACTAGACAATCTTAGAGGTCTTTCCCAAGCTAATGGGTTCTATGATTCTATGCCATCTTCAAGCAACCATGGGCAAAACTGCCTTTTAGACTTTGTTTTTCACACCCTCTGTGGACTTTGCTACAGGGGCTTAAAAAAAAAAAGTGGACTTAAGGCAATTGTCTCAGATGGCTTTTGCATAATACCACTACAGACAAAAATTATTATAAATTGGATAAAAGACTCTGTAACTTTTGAAATTCATGCTCCAGGCAATTTTGTCTGTGGAGACGGAAGAAGAATTAAAGCAAAAAAGAAGTCTGTGAAGCATTGACACCTTTTCAGAAGATATTACAAGATGGGAATCTAAGGATAATAGATGCAGAGCTGAAGGTTAATCAGTGTAGTTTGGGAATTATCCAAAAGTATCACTTAACTTCCTGTTAGTTTAGTGATGCTTCTCTGGGATAGCCAGATTCCCAAATGGAAAGCATAGGAATGATGTTTTATCTTTCTTTGCTGCTTTAAACAGAGCCATACTTAAGGAGGTAGAAAAATAAGATATATTAACACTATTTTTAAGATAAGAGCTGGTTAATTGACTATTACAAATTAAATATTTCATGTAATTAGTGCATGTACTTGGTATGTTGATACCAGTAAAACTGTTCTACATGTGTACTGGCCAATCTGTAGAAAATACACTGCAGAAACGATTCTAATAAGCAACAGATGGAAAAGATGACTAAAATGTTTTTTGTTCTCATTACTGTGACACAGTTAAGTACAAGTGCTATCAGATAAGCTTACTGCTTGTAATGTAATACATTTGAGAGCTGCCATTAGCTATTCCATCAGTGTGCTCAATTTGCCTTAGAGATGACAGTAGAAGTTGGGGATGTAAGTTCTGTTTTTCTGCCATACTCATGATACTACTACCACTCCTTTAATAGAAATCAAGCAGCTTGTTTACTCAAGTAATGATTTAACTAGCTTACAGTCAACTATGCTATTTTTGAAAGAGTTATGCAAGTTTCATCCTGACTGTTGAATGTAGAGGAAAGTAAATACTACAAATGAGCTTAAGTAAATAAAATATGCAATGAAGTCAGCCTTGGAACAAGAGCCAGATCCTAACTGTCAACTTGCAGACATAGCTGGTGGGAGGAATACAGGGCTGGGCACTTCTCAGTGATGCCCACTGGCAACAGGCACAGGCTGAAATACTGAAAATTGTGTTCAAATGTAAGTCTTCCTTACAGTGAGGGAGGTCCAGCACTAGAGCAGTTTGCCTAGTGAGGGATCTTCATGCTTGGGGATGTTCACAGCCCATGTGGATGAGAGCCTGAGTGGTCTGCTGTGTTTTACCCTGTCTTGATTTACTGCCAGAATATTCTATCACATGAACCCCTCTGATGTTAATTGTGCAGCCTGAATTCTCACAGGTTCACTGTCAAAGCAGGGGGTTATTTATATGTAAGAAGCAAGGATACATTCCTTTCCTTGGTCTGCTGGTGTGTGCTTACCTTACCAAGAAGTGTGTTGTTTCAGCTCTTTGGAGCTCAAAGAGCAGGAGAAAAAAAAAAACCAACCAAACAAAAACAAAATAACTGGGTTGGGTTTTTTGTTTGAGATGTAGTCTGGTGTGGTGTAAGCTATCTCCAAAAAATCTGTTTGGAAATATGCTGGAGGTGTTGGATATTGTCAGTCCTACTGCACAAAATATGTGAATCTGAACATAAAGTTTGAAAACTCTTCTGGGACAAACAGTGGATCTCTCTGAAAAACAGCCAAGAACAACCAAAAGTCAATGTGTCTGTCAGATCAGTTATGTTGCTATAGAAGAGAATGGAGGTAAACAGAGCACATGCTGTGGACAGGACTGTCTCCTGCTTTCACCCTGAGCTCCGTGTCCTTGTGCAACACTGCACATCAGGTGGATTTTGTCCTCCATCAGGAGATCATTCCATTTGTATGCTCTATTGCTTGCCAAGTGCATCAGGATCCTTTAGAAGGCAAAGAATGGGACATAGCAAATGGAAGTTACTACTTAATAGCCTTGTCTATTATGTGCAAAATATCTAATTAAAACTGCATATGTATTCCATGCACAAACATGTGCTCCCATGCCTCTGGAGGGACAGGGAAATGTTTAGGAGCTCTCCTCTTGCCAAGGAACCGCAGCCTTTATGCTGCAATGTTGACTGCAGTTCTGCCCAAGGGCTGAAGTCAGTCCCACTGTGCTGTGATATGAGGAAGTAACTTCTCATCCTCCTGTTCCAAGATGTGTAGTACATGGAATTATTTTCAATACAAATGTTTGTTTCTGTCATGGCAAACTATTGCATAGAGGAAGGTACGAGATGATACACATCAGTGGTATGGCATGGATTATTGTCTGCTCGCTCCTTTGGTCTCAGCAGGTGCGTTCTGCTCTTACATTATAAAGCATCATTGTGTGGATGCCTTTAAATGATGCTGCGGTTTGTATCACTTGTAAGATGGCCTAGCAGCACGGCCCACATCCCCTCAGATCCCTACACGTGGGCAAATGTGTCAGGCAAACTTTTCTATTCCGAGCTGCCAGGTGGCATCTCAGACAGCTGTACAGCCACGAGATCCTTCACAGCAAAGCTGGTAACGGCAGTAGAAGTCTCTGTGTTCTGGAGAAATGGCGTGAAGGGAGGAGGAGACCCTGCCCTGGGCTCTGCGAGAGCGGCGGAGCGGGCCGGGAGTGCGAGAGCCGCCCTGCAGGTGGCAGCATTGAGCAGCACATCTCCCGGAGCTGGCTTGCAGCACTTGTTTCCCACTCTGCGATGGGAGCTGTGCGTGCAGCACGTTTCAGCCCTCCAAGCTGCAGAGCGCGTTGACTATTCCGTTTCATTTAGCGCAGAACGATGCGGGAGGACAGACAGCTGCTCGCTACGGGAAAAAGGAATTAAAAAGAATAGGTTCCCTCATCTAGGAGCCCCCGCGCCTCGGCGGGGCCGAACCTCCCCGGCGCTATTCGGGGCACGGCGGAGGAGGGGCAGCCGCGCTCGAGCCACGTAGGAGCCGGAAACGCTCCCGAGGCGCAGCGGGGCTCGGCCCGGCTCGGCTCTCGGCCCTGCCCTGCCGCGAGGCGAAGGAGGGCGGCTCCCCGCCTCGCGCCGCAAGCCCGCCACACTGCAGAGGCCGCCGCCGGCGGTTATAAATAACACGCCGCCGAATGGCGTCTACGCCTCCTTACTACGCGCCTCCGCCCGGCCCCGCCTCCCGCCGCCGCCGTGACTGACGGGCGGACGCACCAATGCGGGCGCGGCCCCCGGCGGGCGGTGCGGCTCGGGGCCGGGCCCGGCGGTGGCGGCCCCCGCGGCCGCGCTGACTGAGGGCGGGGAGCGGCGGGGCGGGCCGCGGGGCCGCGGCGCTGGGCTGGCCGGGAGCCTGGCGGCGGCGGCGGCGGCGGCTCGGGGATGGTCCACGCACTGGCGCCGTCACGTGTTGTTCTGCTCGCAGCGAGCCTGAGCCGCGGCGGCGGGCGGAGGGGCCGGAGAGCGAAGCGCGGCCCCCGGCGCCCGATTCGGTCCGGGGCGCCGGGAAACTCCGCGGAGAAGCCGGCGGGGAGCGAGTCGCCGCGGCCGTGCCCGCTTCCCCCGCCAGCCTGGGGCGCGGGAGGGAGCCGTGCCGCCGGCCGCTGAGGCGCTGCCGCCTGGAATGAGGAGGAGGAGGAAGAGGGGATGTTCGTGCCGCGCTCGGGCTGCCTCCCCTCCTGCCGCCGCCGGGTCGCGTTCCGTGTGGAAATGGCACTTTCTCTGCCTAACGAGATGGGACTGAATGGGGTCGGCAGCCTCCTCCGCGCGCCCGAGCGGGAGCAGCAGCAGCAGCAGCAGCCGCGGCGCTGAGCCTGGGGGGCGGCTGTGCGTGCTGTGCTGTGCTTGCTGTGCTGCGGGGCTTTCCTGTTGGTTTCTTTTTTTTTTTTTTTTTTTTAATTTTTTTTTTTGGGTGCAAACCCCGGACTTTGCAAAACAATCTCCGCCCCCGAGAGGATATTTAATCTGCAACAAGAATCGCAGCTCGCGGAGGTAAAGTTGAGAGAAGAAGGGCTGCCGGACCTCGTGCCCCGTGGGGACCCGAACCCCGCGGACCGAGGATGCGATTCTCCCTCCCGGCGGCTGCCCCCGGGACGTGGCTTTCGCCTGGACTGAGCGGGACCGGACTGCAACTTATTAAAGACGCGCACGTAGTGGCGATTGGGGCATAAACAGCGACACGAACTCCGGTCTGGTGCCGGAGGCTGCCTCTGCTGCCGAACAGCTGCTCGCCCCGTGCTCCTGTCCCTCTGCCGTCCCGTTTTCAGAAGGGGATCCTGAGCTTTTTTCCTTCTTTTTTTTTTTTTCTTTTTTTTAATTTTAAATTGTTGCGTGCATTTTATTTTAGGTGGTTGACTTTTGCAGCTGGCTCGGCTGTTTTGGGGTCTTGTGGACTGCTGACGGCGGTAGCAGCAGCACTGCCTCTCGCCATGGCCAGCCCCACAGATAACAACGAGGGCTTCTTCTCGGATGTCAGAAAGGTGGGTTACTTGCGCAAACCCAAGAGCATGCATAAACGCTTTTTCGTGCTAAGGGCAGCCAGCGAGTCTGGACCCGCCCGGCTGGAGTATTACGAGAATGAGAAGAAATGGAGACACAAGTCGGGGGCCCCCAAGCGCTCCATCCCATTGGAAAGCTGCTTCAACATCAACAAGCGGGCTGACTCCAAGAACAAGCACCTGGTGGCCCTCTACACCAAGGACGAGCACTTTGCCATTGCAGCTGACAGTGAACTGGAACAGGAGAGCTGGTACCAAGCGCTGCTGCAGTTGCACAACAGGGCCAAGGGCCACCACCACCTCCACCACCATCACCACCACCACCACAGCGACGTCACCTTTGGGGGCAGCAGCGTGGGGCTGGGGGAAGCGGGTGAGGACAGCTATGGTGAGGTAGCCCCTGGCCCAGCTTTTAAGGAAGTTTGGCAAGTAATTCTGAAGCCTAAGGGGCTAGGCCAGACAAAGAACCTGATTGGCATCTACCGCCTGTGCCTGACTAACAAGACCATCAGCTTCGTAAAGCTGAATTCGGATGCGGCTGCTGTGGTGCTGCAGCTGCTCAATATCCGCCGTTGCGGACACTCTGAGAACTTCTTCTTCATCGAGGTGGGACGCTCGGCAGTGACTGGGCCTGGGGAATTCTGGATGCAGGTGGATGATTCTGTGGTGGCGCAGAACATGCATGAAACCATCCTGGAGGCTATGAGAGCCATGAGTGAGGAATTCCGACCACGCAGCAAGAGCCAGTCCTCCTCCAACTGTTCCAACCCCATCTCCGTGCCTCTTCGTAGCAGGCACCACATCAACAACCCTCCGCCCAGCCAAGTGGGGCTCAGTCGCCGATCCAGAACCGAGAGCGTTACGGCCACCTCCCCAGCTGGCGGTGGGGGAGGAGGTATGGGTGGCAAACCCAGCTCTTTCCGGGTTCGCGCATCCAGTGATGGGGAAGGCACCATGTCAAGGCCTGCCTCGGTGGATGGCAGCCCAGTTAGCCCTAGTGCCAACCGGACCCACTCGCACAGACACCGTGGCAACTCCAGGCTCCATCCTCCGCTCAACCACAGCCGTTCCATCCCGATGCCTTCCTCGCGCTGCTCCCCATCGGCCACCAGCCCAGTCAGCCTTTCGTCCAGCAGCACCAGTGGCCACGGCTCTACATCAGACTGCCTGTTTCCACGAAGGTCCAGTGCTTCGGTTTCTGGCTCCCCTAGTGATGGCGGATTTATTTCTTCTGATGAATATGGTTCTAGCCCGTGTGACTTCCGCAGCTCTTTTCGCAGCGTTACCCCAGATTCGCTAGGACACACCCCACCAGCTCGGGGCGATGAAGAGCTCAACTACATCTGCATGGGGGGGAAGGCCGCTTCGTCCTGCTGCAGCCTGGCAGCTCCCAATGGCCACTTCATCCCACGCACCTGCCACCCGCAGCAGCAGCCCCGCTACCCCAGCACGTCATGCTGTCCCCGAGCTGGTAGCGAGGACATTGCTGACTTGGACAAGGCATTCAGGAAACGGACTCACTCTGCAGGCACTTCGCCCACCATCTCCCACCAGAAGACACCCTCCCAGTCTTCGGTGGCTTCCATTGAGGAGTATACGGAGATGTTGCCTTCTTACCCCTGTGGCGGCAGCCGGCTGCCCTCCTACCGGCACTCAGCCTTTGTGCCCACTCACTCCTACCCTGAGGAGTGTCTGGAGATGCACCACCTGGATGGCAGCCATCATCGGACCAACTCTGCTCCGCACACGGATGACGGCTACATGCCCATGTCTCCCGGTGTAGCCCCCTTGCCCAGCGGTGGGGCTGCCCCCAAGAGCGGTGACTACATGCCCATGAGCCCCAAGAGCGTGTCGGCCCCCCAGCAGATCATCAACCCTGGCAGAGGGGGCCGCCACCCTCCGGCTACGGTGGACTCCAACGGCTACATGATGATGTCCCCCAGCGGCAGCTACTCCCCGGACAGCGGCTCTGCGGGCTACGGCAAGATTTGGACGAACGGTGCCGGCCACCACCCAAAGCTCTCGGTGGACAGCAACGAAGGGAAGCTGCCCTGTGGCGGCGGCGACTACATCAACATGTCCCCGGCCAGCGGCTCCACCACCAGCACGCCGCCCGACTGCTACTTCGGGGCGGCGGGGCAGCCGGGCGTCGAGGAGGCGGCCACCGCGGTCCTCCACAAGCCCATCTACTCCTACTTCTCGTTGCCGCGCTCCTTCAAGCACGTGCACCGGCGGGCCGGCGGGCCGGCGGGCGAGGAGGGCAGCCCCCAGCCCCGCGTGGCTCTCGGCTCCGGCCGCCTCCTCTACGCCGCCGAGGACTCGTCCTCCTCCACCAGCAGCGACAGCCTGGGCGGCCCCGGCGGCCCCGAGGGTCCCGCGCCGCGCTCGCAGCCCCCGCGCAAGGTGGACACGGCCGTGCAGACCAAGGGCCGCCTGGCGCGACCCACGCGGCTGTCGCTGGGCGGCCCCAAGGCCAGCACCCTGCCGCGGGCCCGCGAGCAGCCCCCGCTGCTGCCGCCCCCGGAGCCCAAGAGCCCCGGCGAGTACGTGAACATCGAGTTCGTCCCCGGGGACAAGCCGCCTTTCCCCTCGGCCGCCCCGGGGCTGCCGCGGCCGCCGGGCGGGGAGGCCGCCGAGGAGTACATGAACATGGATCTGGGGCCGCCCCGCGCCCGCTGCCCCGGCGCCTTCGCCGCCGCGCGGGCGGCCCCCGCGGCACGGCCGGGTCGCGGCGCGGCTCCCCCCGGGCGGGACTACGTGAGCATGCAGCTGGGGGGCTCCTGCTCGGACTGCGCCGACAGCCCCTCGCCCTCTTCGCCCGCCCCGCTGCTCGGCTACGCCGACGTGCGGGCGGGTCGCTCCGCCGCCGAGAAGCCGCCGCCGGCCGCCGCCGCTTCCCCTGAGCTGCCGCGGGGCCCGGCCGAGCTGGCAGCGGCGCCGCCGCGCTCCTCCTCCCTGCTCGGGGGCCCCGGCGCGGGCAGCGCCTTCACCCGCGTCAGCCTCAGCCCCGGCCGTAACCAGAGCGCCAAGGTGATCCGCGCTGACCCGCAGGGCGGCCGCCGGCGGCACAGCTCCGAGACCTTCTCGTCCACGCCGAGCACCGCCCGCGGGGCGGCAGGCGGCGGCGGTCCCGGGGCGCCGTTCCCCTGCGGCGGCGCGGGGGGCGCCGAGGAGGTGAAGCGCCACAGCTCGGCCTCCTTCGAGAACGTGTGGCTGCGGCCCGCCGCCGGGGAGCCGCCCTCCGCGAGCAGGGGGCCGGGGGCCACGCTGGAGAACGGACTCAACTACATCGACCTGGACTTGGCGAAGGATTGCAGCCACCGCCGCCACCACCTGCACCCCCCCGCGGAGGGCGCCTCCGGCCCGGGGGGGAAACCGCCGCAGCCCCGCTCCCCGCGGGGGAGCAGCCACTCCAGCGACGACCTGAGCGCGTACGCCAGCATCAGTTTCCAGAAGCGGGAGGAGCCCTAGGAGCCGGCCGGGAAGGTGAGCTCCGGGGGCGCGGCCTCGCGGGGAGCTCCGTGGTGCCTTCGCGAGGGGGAGGGGCGCGGCGCTGGGCTCCCCGGGGATGCCCGGGGCCGGGGAGGGGCGGCGACCCCGCGGTGGCTCGGGCCCTTCCCGGAGTGCGCTGTTCGGGGACGGCCCGGTTGCTGTAGCCCCGTCCCGGAAGGTGCTCCTGAGATGCGACTGCTGATATTGGGTGTGGACTGCGCTGGTGCGGCGTTGCTGTGCGTAGTTACGGTGTGCTCTGTAGAAAATGAAAATGTGAATTGGCTGAGAGTGTGGGGCTGGAAATGGGAAGCTCCGGCTTTAATCCTCCTTTGGCTAGCGCTTGCTCCTGCGGCTCGGGAGGGCGGTGAGCCACGCTACTCGTGTTTTCCCACGTGTTGAGCTCTGCTGGCGGCATCACCTCGCGAGGCTGCACTGAGCTGGAGCTCAGCTCGGTTTGGAAAGTGCTTTGAATTTGGGGAGGACTTAGGAGTCTTCAAAGTGTTGTGTCCACCATTTGTGCTTCAGTTGATGTGGAGCGTGGCTGCCCCATGCTCGCGGCAGTGTTGCAGGCAGCACGAGAAGCAGGCCCCAAAAGCGTGCCTATGTCATAGGCCAAACTGGTGTGTTTTGTTTTTCCCTAAAGCTTTCCAGTTTTCATTTGGGAAAGCCCTTTGCTGAGCTGTTGTGTCTTGGTTGCAGGTAGCTGGTGAATAGAGGTGTGGCCACCAACAGTTCTGCTCTGTGGAAACTTGATGCAGCTGAGAGCAAACATATCTGGTCCAGGAGCTGCTGCAGCACAGTGCAGGTGTGGGAGTCACTCCTTGAAAGGTGACAGCTGTTGTGCACTGGCAGCCAGCTCCCTGGTTAGTTCTGCCATCACACGTGCTGTTAGCAGCTCTTGCTGCATTTGAGCAGCAGCAGTCCCAGCAGTGTGAATGGATGTTGGCACAGATGTGTACATGGTGATGTGAGGGGATGAGTTTCATACTGCTCTTTATAATTTTATCGTAAGTATAATGAAGTATGATAAACGTGCTGCTTGTATCATGCATTCACTTGGTCCAAGGGTGGGATGCTCAGGACCAGAGCTTCCATTTTGCATGGTGACAGTGTTTATAGAACCTGAACAAAGACAGAGCAGGCTGTCTGTATTTGCTGCCTGTTTGAACAGTACACTGGTAGATGTTGGTCCTACAGGACTTGTGAGGGCCAGAGCCAGTTCAGAGTTCAAACAGAGGTCTCATATTAGCACAGGTGTTGCTGCTCTTGCTTGGATGGTGGCAGGAAGGAAATGTTTTGTTTGTGTCCATGTGGCTGTTACAGTGCTCAGTGGGCAGATGCACTGCGCTGCACTGTACTCTTTGGGGAGGCTGCCGGGGCTCTGGGGTGTCCTGGTCAGCATTGCCCTGTGCTCCTGCGGAGGCTTGCCAGAGGATGCAGCATGCTGTTTTGCCACTCCCATTGATAGGAGTACTGTTGTTCTTCCCTGTTCTGTGCTAGGACTGGGGAAGCAGGTGCCAAAGAAATCCAGTGCTGAGGTCTGAGGGAGCAATGAACGTGTGCAGGAGTCAGAAACTGCGGGTCTGAGGGGTGGCAGTGTCACAGGTGTTCACTTGCAGATTTTCACAGACCTGCTTACTTTGCTTTAATTGATCCCACGTATCACCTTAATACAAACACTGTGGCAAAACTCTCCATCCATCCCAGCGGTGGGGAGGTCCCTGCTGGAGCTGTGCTGGTCAGTGGGACGGAATGTGCCCACTTGTCCCAGGAATATGCTGAAAGCACCACACGGCTGCTTGCAGAGGGGCGTAATGAAAGGTGCTGTCTAATAGAGGAACTGCTGTTTGAAGTTAGCTCTTCTTTCCCCAAGTTAGGATTGGGCTAAGCAAGTAGAGCTTCTCCTGGGAGGCCGGGAAGTTGTAATTATGTGGGTAGTCTGCAGCCATGCTACCCTCTGCCCTCCCCATCACTCAGCTCAGCTGCCTACTCAGTTAACCCATCAGGCTCCTATTTCCCATGCTGGATTCCTTGCCATCAGAATGAACTTTCCTCACAAAGTTCAGCCTAACTAGTTCATCTTTTTGAGTTCATTAGAGAAAAAAAAAATGAATTGTCCATGTTAGACCGTGCTTAAATCTGTTCGTTGTCAAGTCCTCGTACTTTTGTTGCTTTGGAGGTGAAATTGGGGTTTGGCAGGGGAATCAGCCTGTGCCACTATACCTCATGCCATGCTTGAGAAACTCTGCCTGGAGGTGAGTGGTTTATTGGTCTGCAGGCAGTGTGCTTGCACATGCCTGGAACAGTTGTGGAGTACCTTAAGGTAAACCATTCCATGCTGGCACGAGTAGGGATGTGCTCCAAGTCTAAAGCTTTGTGCACCCCTTCCAAGGGGCGGTCATGCAGGCTCCATCTCACCCCATGTCACCTTGTGCTGCTCCTGTGCAGCGGATGTGCAAGTGCTGCCTGGAAGGGCGAGCAGGAGGCTGTTGTTGGTCCTTCTGCTGCCTGAGCAATGTGGAAGAGTAAGGAAAAACCACTTGGAATACAGCAGATACGCAGAGAGACAACACCAGGCCTGGTGAGGGAGAGCTGATGCTGCCAGGTATCAGTAAGGGATGGGGAAGGCTGCCTCAAGTGCCCTGTCTTTGCTCTCCATCTCTTGCGTAGCTGTGGGTTTTTATTTATCCCTTTAATCTCAGAAGTGGCAGAAGAACTGTGCCTATTCATTTTTCTTTCTCCCTCTCCATAGAACAGGCTTATTTTCTCCTTCCCCCCAGCGAAGGCCAAAACTATCTGGATAACTCTTGTTTTATCCATTCTGGAATGTTTTCTTGTTCAGACTACAAGGCAAGGACCTCACATGTTTGCCATTCAACTCCCAGTGGGTAAAATGGTTGCTGCTGCTCTGCTGCAAGCCAGCAGCTCCTCTCCTTGTCCTGCTGCCCAGTCCTTCTCCCTGTCACTTCCAGGTTGCTGGGGCATTACACTCTTAAAGTTTCTGTTAACTTCTTTGAAGTGTGCTTGTTTCTCTGAACATTAAAGATACTGGCTTAAAGAATCATTAGATTTTCAAATTAAAAAAAAAAAACTTTCCCATCTTCAGCTCTTCTCTGCACTCTCTCAAATCCCATTGCTTCCATTGTCACACACTGTGGGCTGTTTCCTAACATCTGGCCCTGTCTTAGTCTTTGTAGCTCTCTTCTTCTCTCATTCTTTTAAAAGTGCAACAGTGTAACTGCTGGGAGCTCCCCTGCCCACACACTTTCTTCTGCTTGGGAGAACTGGGGACTGATTCCTGTGCCGAGATCAGCCCATGGCTCCTCAGTGCTTGGATCCTGTGGCAGGTAGATTTCTGTGCTGCAGTAGCCAAATCCTGCTGGAAAACGCCAGCCTGTGGCATGAAGCTGAGTTGAAGGTTGGGGCGTGGTGTTGTATTTTATTCCTGCTTAGGATTTTGCATGCACAGGTGATTAAATGTAGGAAGCACATTCTCAACTTTGGGATTGGTACGAGAAGAGAAACCTCCTAGGAGTATCAGGGTTATGAAGATGAACTGCAGGTAGCTTGTGCTCAGAGCATGCCATCCAAAAATATTCCAAAAAGGAAGGCAGTAGGTGTTGGCATATGAATAACAGGAAAGGCTGAAGCAGGATCACAGAAGGAGGCAGGTATGTGGCTTTGATGTCTGGAGCTTCAAAGCAAAGGCATTATTCCCCCGCCTCATTTCCATTTTGTTGATGAGCATGAGAACTTGTGAAAGTGAGTGCTAATAACACTGAATAGAATATGTGCAGCCCAAACAAGTGGTAACTTGGCTCCCTCACAGCTGTAGCAATGCCTCTTTGCCTAATGCGCAGTGGGGCTTTGGTGCTGTAGGACAGTGGGACGTGGTGCAACAACACCTGTAAGGGGATTGTGCCTTGTGTCTGGCTCTAGCCAAAGCAGAGCTCTACTGAGGTGAAAAACTGAAGTATTTTTTGTGTCTCCTGAAGATATACATTAGGGTAAACAGAAGATTACTCTTGTATTAGTGTCCAGTGTAAGTGAGATGGCTTCTTGGGGCATTGCTTTCTATTTTATTTTATTTATTTTTTATTAATTTTCTATAATCGGAATTGCTTCTGCAAGTTAAAAACTTGGGGTGGAACAAATGAAACAAAAAATTACCAAAGCAAGATGTGTACCATTAAAATAAGTGTGCGGGGTAAGGTTCTTTCCAGAACTGAAAGAACAGAAGTTCCCCTAGTTCTGGATCAGCACCAACACAAATACCAGTGCATTATGAGAGTTTTCCATGCTCTGTAGGCATTACTGTAGTCAAAACTGTGCATTACTTACTATGCAAGCACACCAGTTTTCCCCAAACCTAATTATTTGCCAGAATTGAGCCTGTCTCCACATATTTGCATATTTGCAGTCGTCCTGTTTAACAAAAACTCAAGCTTATAATTGTATTTTTTTGTTTGTTTGTTTTTGTAATTTAGACAGTAGATTCACTCCCACATTAAATTTTAATACTCATGTATTCCTCTCTCCTTTAGTTTTAATGACAAGTTTCTCAAGACTTCTCTTTTTTGTTTTCCTGGCTTAAAAATTGTAACTGTATGATTTATTAACCAGTGCAGTAGATAATGAAGTACTATCTGAACTTGTTTACCCATGGGTTTCATGTTTATCATAGAATCATAGTGTCATTTAGGTTGGAAAAGACCACTAAGATCATCTAGTCCAACCGTTGGCCCAGCCCCACCAGCCATGTCCCTCAGTGTCACATCTCCATGTTACTAGAACACCTCCAGGGACGCTGACCCCCCCACCTTCCTGGGCAGCGGTGCCAGTGCCTCACCAGTCTTTCTGAGAAGAAATTGTTCCTGATACCCACCCTGAATCTCCCCTGGTGCAACTCGAGGCCATTCCCTCTCATCCTTTCACGTTACCTGGAGGTAGAGGCCAACCCCTGCCTCACCATGACTTCTTTCAGGGAGTTGTAG